CTTGCCGGCGATCTTCTCGACGCAGATCACGCCCTCGTGGCTCGCCTTGTGGGCGAGCCAGGGGGCGCCGCAGACGTCGCCGATGGCATAGACGCCCGGCTCGCCGGTCTGCATCCACTCGTCGATCACGATGTGCCCGCGCTCGACCTTCACCTTCGTGCCCTCCAGGCCGATGGTCTCCGTGTTGCCGACAATGCCGACCGCGGAGATCACCTTCTCCACCTCCAGCACCTGGGTCTTGCCGCCCTGCTCGACCGTCGCCTTGGCCAGGCCCGAACCGTTCTTAGGGCGCTCGACCTTCGTCACCTTGGCGCCGGTCAGGACCTTGATGCCCTGCTTCTCGAAGGTCTTCCGCGCGAAGGCGGAGATCTCGGGGTCCTCGGCCGGCAGGATGCGATCGACCAGTTCGACCACCGTCACCTCGGCACCCATCGTGCGGTAGAAGCTGGCGAACTCGATGCCGATGGCGCCGGAGCCGACCACCAGGATCGATTTCGGCATGGCGTCGGGCACCATGGCTTCCTTGTAAGTCCAGACGGTGTTGCCGTCGGCTTCCAGCCCCGGAAGCTGGCGCGCACGCGCGCCGGTCGCCAGGATCACGTGCTTGGCCGTGAGATCCGCGACTGCCTTGCCGTCCTTTTCGACGTGGAGCTTCCGCTTGCCGCCAGTGCTGCCGTCGAGCTTGCCGTGGCCGTCGAAGACCGTGACCTTGTTCTTCTTAAGCAGATGCTTGACGCCGCCGCTGAGCTGCCCCGCCACCTGGCGCGAGCGCTTGACCACGGCGGAGATATCGAAGCCGACGTTGTCGGCCTTCAGGCCGTAGGTCTTGGCGTTCTGGAAGTAGTGATAGATCTCGCTGGTCCGCAGCAGCGCCTTGGTCGGGATGCAGCCCCAGTTGAGGCAGATCCCGCCCAGGTGCTCGCGCTCGACCACGGCAGCCTTCATGCCCAGCTGCGCCGCCCGGATGGCGGCGACGTAACCGCCGGGGCCACCGCCCACGACGACCAGATCGAAATCCGTCTCGGCCATGTCTTGCTATCCCATCCCCAGTTTGCGGGCGAGCTCCATATCCCAGAAGGTCGCCTCGATCTTGTGTCCGTCCGGATCGCGCAGGAAGGCGCCGTAGTAGGGCTCGCCATAGTCCGGGCGCGGCCCCGGCGCGCCGTCGTCCTTAGCGCCCGCCGCCAGGCCTTCCCGGTGGAAGGCATCCACCTCTTCCTTCGACAGCACGAAAAAGGCGAAGTGCGTCCCGTTGCCGACACTCGCCGTATTGCCGTCGAAGGGTGTTTGCACCCAGAACTGCGGGTAGACTTTGCCGTAGGCGACCGCTTCCGGGTGCTCCATGAGCCGGTGGATGCCGATGGTCTTCAGCACCCGGTCATAGAACGCGGTCGACCGCGCAAAGTCGTTGGTCCCGATCGAGACGTGGGAGATGGTGTTCGGAAACTCATCGCTCATGGCCGCATTCCTTTCGAACAGCTCTTCGGCTTTGCGTCGCGGAGCGGTCTCACCTCGTCGAACCGGACCCCGCGTCCACCGTCACGCTACCCCCGAGGACAGGGCCGCGAAAGGCAGCGGGCGCGAAGAAAGCAAGCTCGATCAAGTCTCGTTCCAGGAGCCCCTAAAGCAGCATGGTCAGCGGGTCTTCGATCAGCTTCTTGAAGGCGGCCAAGAACTCGGCTCCGACCGCCCCGTCCACAACCCGATGATCGACCGACAGGGTGCAGGACATGACCGTCGCCACGGAGAGCGCGCCCTCCTTCACCACCGGGCGCTGCTCGCCGGCGCCGACCGCCAGAATGCAGCCCTGCGGCGGGTTGATCACCGCCTCGAATTGCTTGACCCCGAACATGCCGAGATTGGAGATCGAAAAGGTCCCGCCCTGATACTCCTCGGGCATCAGCTTGCCGTCGCGCGCCTTACCGGCGAGCGTGCGCATCTCCGCCGAAATCTGAGCGAGGCCCTTGCCGTCGGCCTGCTTCACGATGGGGGTGATCAGACCGGCCGGCGTCGCCACGGCAACGGAGATGTCGGCACGGTCGAAGAACAGAAGCCCTGAAGGATCGAAGGACGCATTGGCTTCGGGAACCTGCCGCAGGGCCAAAGCGGCCGCACGGATCACGAAGTCGTTGACCGAGAGCTTGTAGGCACCGTCGCCCTCGGGGGAGCGCCCGTTGAGATCCTTGCGGACCTTCAGCAGCGCATCCAGCTCGCAGTCGATGGTGAGATAGAAGTGGGGAACGGTCTGCTTCGACTCGGTCAGGCGCTGCGCGATCACCTTGCGCATGCCGGACAGCGGCTCCTGCTTGTATGGAATACCAAAGGCGTCCGCGAAAGCCTTCCCGGACACGCCCTGAGGCATGGCGGCGCCGGCAGCGGGGGCCGGCACAGCGGCAGGTGCCGACGAAGCCGCCGCCTGTGCCGGTGCCGGCGCTCCAGGGCCGGCGGACAGGGCGGCTTCGATGTCGGCCTTGACGATCCGCCCGTGCGGCCCCGAGCCGGTGAGCCGGGCGAGGTCGAGACCGGCCTGCTCGGCCATGCGCCGCGCCAGCGGCGAGGCGAAGATGCGGCCGCCCTCCCCGCCGCCGGTCGCGGGCGCGGGACTGGGCGCCGGTGCTGGACTGGGGGCCGATGCTGGACTGGGGGCCGATGCTGGACTGGGGGCCGGTGCTGGACTGGGGGCCGGTGCTGGACTGGGCGCCGGGCCGGGCGCTTCCGCCGCGCCTTTGCTCTCGCCGCCAGTGTCGCCGCCAGTGTCGCCCTCGCCGCCGGGGGCGGCCGGCGCCTTGGCCTTGGCCGCCTCGACGTCGATGGCGTCGGCGCTCTCGCCCTCCTCCAGCAGGATGGCGATCACCGAGTTGACGGCCACGCTCTCGCTGCCCTCGGCGACGACGATCTTGCCGACCGTGCCTTCCTCGACGGCTTCCACCTCCATGGTGGCCTTGTCGGTCTCGATCTCGGCGATCACGTCGCCGGAGCTGACCTCGTCACCCTCCTTGACGTGCCACTTGGCCAACGTGCCCTCGGTCATGGTGGGCGAGAGGGCCGGCATCAGGACATTGATCGGCATGACGCTTCCTGTTCCTTCCAGAGCGCGTGACGGGCCAGAGCGCGTGACGGGCGGCCGCCGCGCGGGCGAGCCGCCGCCGGTCAGTCGCGGTAGCAGACCTGCTTGGCCGCCGCGACCACCTTGTCGGCCTGCGGCAGGGCCAGCTTCTCCAGGTTGGCGGCGTAGGGCAGCGGCACGTCGGCGCCGCAGACGCGGGCGACCGGCGCATCCAGGTAGTCGAAGGCCTGCTCCATCATCGTCGCCGCCAGCTCCGCGCCGATGCCGGCGAAGGGCCAGCCCTCCTCGGCGGAGACCAAGCGGTTGGTCTTCTTCACGGACTCGACGATGGTGGCGGTGTCGAGCGGGCGGATGCTGCGCAGGTCGATGACCTCCGCCTCGATCCCTTCGCCGGCGAGCTGCTCGGCCGCCTCCAGGCTGCGGCCGACCATGATCGAGTGGGCCACGATGGTCACGTCGCTGCCCGCGCGCACCACCTTGGCCTTGCCGATCGGCACCACCCAGTCGTCGCTGTCCGGCACCTCGAAAGACTGGCCGTAGAGGATCTCGTTCTCGAGGAAGATCACCGGGTTCGGGTCGCGGATGGCGGCCTTCAGCAGACCCTTGGCGTCGGCCGCCGACCAAGGCGAGACCACCTTCAGGCCGGGCACGTGGCCGTACCAGGAGGCGTAGTTCTGGCTGTGCTGGGCGGCGACCCGCGAGGCGGCGCCGTTGGGGCCGCGGAACACGATGGGGTTCTGGATCTGACCGCCCGACATGTAGAGCGTCTTGGCCGAGGAGTTGATGATCTGGTCGATCGCCTGCATGGC